CCAGTTTACAGTGCAGGATTGTCCTTCTGGGTGCCCTGGGAGCCATCTCTGCAATGTAATTATCAAGGAGGAGAGGGCCCCATCTCCCTGTCTCCCCAGAAGGGTGGGAGCCTGACTTGGCAGGCAACTGGCTTTAAGTCGCAAAACTACCTCCTGTCATAATGATACAAGTTTGTTTTTCCTTTAGGTTAAGGTGATTAACAAACTCAGGTGGCCACCCAATTACCAGGTGAATCTAGGATGGACTCAGGTGACAAATGGTGCAGTCAAGTCCTCTTACCTGAGGGCTCCTTGTCACTTATGCTAAGAATAGGTAGTAACGGGTCCTGTCTTCCCAGCTACAGTAAAGGGCCCGATTTCTTCCTGTCCCTCTGTAGTGAATAACCCATGGTGCATAGTGCACTCTGCTTTGATGCTTCTATAATGATGAAAGCTGTTCTCTTGAGGAGGAAGGGGGACTTATTGTTTAAGGGGTGCAGTAGTAGTTTTGCAAGATGAAGAAGTTGCACCCCTATGGAGATGGATAGTAGTGATAATGATGTGAGCGTACTTAATGCCACCAAACTGTATACTTTAAAACAGCTAAAATGGTAAGTTTTATGTTACATATACTTGTAGCAATCAAAAATAAATAACTTTTTAAAAATAGGCAGTTTTAAGGCTGGGCGTGGTGGTTCACACCTGTAATCCCAGCACTCTGGGAGGCTGAGGTGGGCCAGATTGCTTGAGATCAAGACCAGCCTGAGCAAGAGCAAGACCCTGTCTCTAAAAATAGCCAGGCCTTGTGGCAGATGCCTGTAGTCCCAGCTACTAGGGAAGCTGAGGCAAGAGGATCCCTTGAGCCTAAGAGTTTGAGGTTGCTGTGAGCTTTGACACCATGGCATTCTACCAAGGGGGAGAGAGAGTGAGACTATCTCGAAAAAAAAAAGTCTGTTTCATTTCTTTTCTACCCTTGTGGAGAGATTTTCTGGGGTCCTCTAGACTGAGATTGTGGGGGTTCTTAGCATACTTTCTTCCCTGGAAAGGAGGTTTTTTTTTTTTT